TCCACATTTGATAGTTGTTGAAATTCTGATTCATTTATTATTTCAGAGTTGGTAAATAAGAGTCTCTTTGTTTCTAAGTGTTTGAATTCTTCTGAAAGAGTTTTTTTCTTTTACTTTACTCTCTTTCTGTATTGAATTTGGTGCTTTCCATTACTTCTATTCGTTCAAAGTGTATTAGGTGCCTTTTAGTGTGGTGAAAGATTCGCAATGATTTTAGATAGCTTTTTTCTGCTGCTCTGAATAGCACAAAACCAATGTCAATTATTTTCAATTTTAAAAACCAGTTTTAACTTAATGATGTTGTTATTAATGTATTAACTTCATGTATTAATTGTTTCGAATGGTCTACACACATGTTGAGCATCGAAGTTATTTAGTGATATTTTCATCGATGGGAAATGTAAAGAACTAGCAAAGTAAATGTCAGAATGGTTATCTAATACTTTGTTTAAGTTTAAAGCATGCAAAAAATAAATATTTATGAAAACTTTCTTTTATTCTACAATTCATCTATATTGAATTACATTCTTTTTATCAATTTCGATAAAATCTGTCATATGAATTATCATAAAACTTAGTATACCTAGTATAAAACCTAGTATAAAAGTAGATTAAAATTACGTCATGCACTAAAGGTTTTAGCTGAGGTTAAAACAGCTACTTGTAAAGGTACATCATACAAAAAAATCATTCTATATAGAAAATCAATAACATAAAATATTTTAAATTTGTAAACAACTCATATTTCTTCCATTGGAAGTTAAATGGAACCAGTGTGAACATGTTTGCACTAGCCCCATTGCCATGTATCTGCACTAGCCTCACGTAGGGAGGTGTTTAATTATGCTAAATTCTGGTTAATTAAAACTATACTGAGCATAAGGTATATTAAGAAGGAGGATTCAGGGTGCCATTTTATATCGAGATGGTATATCAGGGGTGTTGGAGATTGTATGGTATAGTGGACAAGTTGAAGATTGTGATAAAAACAGAAAATGATGAAAATAATACTTGAACCGGATCAGATTCAATAAAAAGCCTTCATTTCATATATTTGCAGAGCTCGAGATACCAAATTTAAATATTATCCATAAGAATTTCAGTTGAATCAATTTTGAATAATAATATTTATAAGGACGGGCCATGGGAGACACATCCCCCACGACCTGCCTAAACAAAAGCCAAATTAAAAAGTACGTGTAATTTGCTCCGATCGGACACAGGAGAAACATGGGTAGCAGATCCAAAATTGGCGAATTGTCATAGTATAACATAGCCCAAACAAAGCCAACCAGCATATCAATATTGGGTTTAAAAGAATACCTTGGCGATCACGAATCGTCAACAAATTTATGAGAATTATTACAACCATTCAACTGAAACATATTTTCGGTTAGAAAATTTAGAATTAAAAAGTTATTAATAGATTTTTGTTTTCGATTAGAGGTGACAGTGAATTAATAAATCTGCATTAGTAATGAAATAAAAAGTATCCGTTGCACTGATCTAAAAGAGAAGAATTTTACGTTCGTTTTAAAAGATTAAGTCTTTGATTTATTTCAAATGTAATTCTATTAATAAAAATCAGCTTAAGTAATCAGAGATATTTTAGAAGATAGGAAATAAATATGTAATGCCAATTGTGGCATCTCAAGGTAATATTAAAATCAATGAAGAAACAGTATAATTTCTAATATATTGCTGTATTTTGATAATTTCACCTTTTGTTAAAATAATGAAAATAAAACATGTTAATAAGAGAGATTATAACTTATATTTTAAGATTTAATGTCCAGTGATATATAAACTACATTAAATTTTTTTGAAATGTAAACACTTTAATTGTTTCATGAATTAAAAGAGTAGAAAATGCCAACATATTTGTGCATTTAAAAATAGGTACTCCTCCCAATACATACCAGGTGTCACTGTTTAGAAGGTCCAGGATAATACCAGCACTATTTAATAACATATTTTATTCAATAAAATAACATCAACAATGATATACAATTAACAAGCAGACAAACATAACATCTTACATCCAGATCTCGTAAGTAAAAGCCCACTAATCTAGAAGTATTTGGGGGAGGTTATCCAAAGGATGCGCGCATGCGCTAACATTTAAGTTTCAGTTCGTATTTCTAAAAGTTTCACTTCGGATTTTAACTTACCACATTTCCTCCCATCTTGAGTAGAATACCTGTAATTATACTCAACAAACTTCTAATTTTTAGACATATAAAAGTTCTATATAAATGAAAGAAAAATACATCAATGATGAAAAATCATACAAAATATTTAACATAAACAATACTTAATGAATCATACAGTTTACAAAATATTACGGTACAATAGGTTTAACAATTCTTCCACTGCTACTTATTTTCAGTGAATTTCCTCTTACATCAACATACTCATTTTCCAGTTCTAATCTAAACAGTCTTTGAACTGGTCTTAAAATTTCTGAATTTTCTGTCTTTACAAGTGCTACTCTTGTGTGACCATCTCTGCCAGGAATTACCTTTAATACCTTAGCTAAATTCCAAAATGTCCGCTTCTTATTAATATCTTCGACTAAAACTATTTCCCCGACTTTTAACGGTTTATCCTTATAATCTCTTAACGATTGTTGGCGTAATTGCCCTAAATATTCAGTCCTAAATCTAGCTCTAAGTAATTCTCTTATTTTTTGGAGATATTTAGCTCGTTTACTTAAATTTTTCTTATCTACCTGATCAATATCTACTACACCTGAGGAAGGTATCTCGTGCAAGAACATTTCGGGAGTTAATGGTGAAATATCGGCCACGTCTTCGGATACGTAAGTGAGGGGCCTCGTATTTATTATTCTTTCACAATCACAAAGGAGAGTGAGTAACTCCTCATAGTTGAGCGTAGCGCGTCCTAATATTTTACGTAAGATTTGTTTCACCATCTGGATTAAGCGCTCCCACCAACCCCCCCACCAACTTGCTGAAGGAGGATTGAACTTAAAGCGTATTTTTTGTTCTGCAACCTTTGAGCTCAATTTATCCCAATCTATTAAACGAAGAGCTTTTTCTGCGCCGACGAAATTTGTTCCATTATCGGAATATATAACTGAGGGTCTGCCTCGTCGCGCAATAAATCGTCTTAAGGACTGAAAATATGCTTCGGTCGTCAAAAGGGTTACTAATTCTAAGTGTACTGCACGATACACTGCACACGTATAAAGAACTATGTATGCTTTTCTTTTATCTTTAAGGTACAGTGGTCCTGCTAGATCAACCCCTATTATCTCAAATACTGCGGCATCATTTACTCGATCACTAGGTAAAATTCCTGGCATAACTTCACATCTTTTAATTTTAAATCTTTGACATTTCACACAATGCTTAATACAATTACGAATAGTCTTACGACTTTTTAAAATCCAATATTTTTCTCTTAAGTGAGACATCAATAGAGAAATACCAGCATGTAAATAATCAACATGATAACTTAAAATTAACAATTTTACTACAGGATGATTATTAGGTAAAATAATAGGATGGATGAAATCTGATGTATCATCACGATAATCAAGGTTGGTTTTAGCTCTTATAACACCATTTTGGTCAACAAATGGTCTTAATTGCTTAAGTTTATTATCATTTACATCTTTAAAACCATCCTTTTGAATTAATAACATCAGAGAAATTTCAGCTTTACAAAGTTCATCTACACTTAAAACCTTAGATAAATTTTTATCTTTATGTTTACAGTTATAAAAGAATCTATATATCCATGCTATCATCCTCAAAATTTTCGTATAAGATGAAAAATATTTACAATACCAGTATTGATCACTATCATCCGTATTTAAAGCAATTATTACCGTTTTACGTAGCTCTGAATTAACCAATTCTTCATTCGGGTTTTCTTCCGATTTAGGCCAATTTTCTTCCTTACCATATAGCCAAATCGGTCCCTCCCACCAACGACGTTGAATTAACTGTTCAGCAGTGTAGCCACGTGATGCAAGATCGGCAGGGTACGAGCTACCTGGCAAGTGGCGCCACATAGTGTGAGAAGTTTCAGAGTGAATTTTTTTTAACGCGGTTATATACAAATAATCCCCAATTTAAATTACGCTTAATCCAACTCAGTCCAACAATAAATTTGAACTTCATTGAAAGCAAGATCTTTAAGTATGGATGACAGCGATCTAGCTCCTATGCAACAGGCTAATAGTTCCAGCCTAGGAATAGTAAGTGGCTTTAAAGGAGCTACTCTGCTTTTAGCATTGACCAAATGAATTTTAACAATATCATTAACAACAATTCTTAAAAATATACAAAATCCGTATGCTAATTTACTGGTGTCACAGAATAAGTGTAAACTTATTGAAACATTAGATGGTTCAAATTCTAGCCATCTTGGAACCTTAATGTCCTCTATTAAATGTAACTGAGAGAGCCAGAGTTTAAATCTCTTTGCCAAATTATCTGGAATTTCATCATTCCAACTTAATTTTAAATTCCAAGTCTCCTGCAAAATTATCGTAGGTAACAACATAACAGGAGATGTATATCCAATAATATCAAATACCCTATGAGCCATTGCTAATACAAATCTTTTCGTAATTAATTGTTCAGAATAATCAACAGGTTCTATTTTACAAGATAACGTATCACCTTCCGTATTCCAATTGAGACATAACACAGACACATCTTTCTTATCAGAATTATTTAT